GACCTTTTCTCAGGTCCTGCTCAGCAGCAAGAGAAAATGAGATGAAAAATCGGCCAAGAGGTTTGGCTCCTGCCCACTGATAGTTCCTCTCCCCTCGGTGTTTGTGTGTCAAGTGACAAAGCTGTTTTTCCTGGTGACCCTGATTATATCCAGTATCTTATAGACTATACGCATAGGCCTGCTCGGTCTCTGTCCTGGGCTTTTGTTTTGCTTTTTAGTTTCGCTTTTAGTTCTTCTGTCCCATTTATTTAATGCACCAACTAGACACACAAAGCAGTTGAATTTTTATATATATATATATCTGTATATTGCACAATTATAAACTCATTTTGCTTGTGGCTCCACACACACAAAAAGACCTGTTAAAATTATACCTGTTGCTTAATTACAATATTTCTGATAACCATAGCATAGGACAAGGGAAAATAAAAACAAAAACAAAAACAAAAAAAAACAACAAAAAAAAAGAAAACAACAAAAAAAAAACAACAAATCTGTCTGCTGGTCACTTCTTCTGTCCAAGCAGATCCGTGGTCTTTCCTCGCTTCTTTCAAGGGCTTCCCTGTGCCAAGTGAAGGAGGCTCCAGGCAGCACCCAGGTTTTGCACTGTTTCTCCCATGCTCGTGACAGAGGTCCCAGGATGCTGGTGCAGGACAGTTCACCTCAACGGGTGGGTGCGCGAGCGCGCTCCCTTGCCTTCGTGAAGTCCGGAATGTAGTTGGCACCGCCTGGTCCCCTTCCACCTCTGGGTGGGGCAGCTGGAGTCCATGGGGTGGCCTGACCCCCCCTTCCACTGGCCCAGTCAGAGTGATCATGTGTGGAGAGTCGGCTCCGCAGGCCTCCCCCGCAGTAGGGCTCCCACTTCGCTGAGTCTGGGGGACTGGAAGGCAGATGGAAGGCCTGTCGCGTCTCTGAATGTGTGAGCCGCACCAGGTAGAATGCCAGGGACCCCAGAACCACAGGCAAGAGTCTAGTGGGTCCCCTCCAGGAGGTAGCAAAGACTCCAGAAATGTCCTTTACTCTTCTCCCCCTTCCTACGAGTAATTGCATTTGCTTTTGTAATTCTTAATGAGCAATATCTGCTAGAGAGTTTAGCTGTAACAGTTCTTTTTGATCATTTTTTAAGTAATTAAAAACACCAAAAAAAAAAAAATCCACAAACTTGTTCTTCCAAAGCAGAGAGCATTATAATCACCAGGGCCAAAAGCTTCCCTCCCTGCGTCATTACTTCTTCTGAGGCCTGAATCCGAAAGAGAAACACTCGCAGGCCCTTTGGGTGGCTGGGCTGCCCTCGGGCCGCTCCGGCCTGCGTTCAGTATTAGCGGTGGGTCCTGACGTCCTTGCCCACCCAGCCTGGGATGGGGCCGAGGAGGTGAGGAGGCCGTTGCCGCCGACGCTTGGCCACTAACAGGTGGGTGTCCGCATGTGTCCACGTACATGCATGCTTTCTGACGGAAACGTGAAATCAGCGCCCGAGCTAGCCTCACCCTGTGACCTCTCGCCCCGCCGGGCCGGAACGCGGCCGGCCCAGTTCAGTGTTTCTGGGGAGCTGGACAGTGGAGTGCGACAGGCTTGCAGAACTTGAAGCCTGCTCCTTCCTTTGCTACCAAGGCCTCCTTTTCCGTTTGATTTGTCACTGCTTCAATCAATAACAGCCGCTCCAGAGTCAGTAGTTGATGAATATATGACCAAATATCACCAGGACTGTTACTCAATGTGTGCCGAGCCCTTTCCTCGCGCTGGGCTCCTGTGTACCCGGACACTGTAACCTGTGCTGTGTTAGCTCCCGTCCCCTCCCCTCGCCCTCCCCTCGTCTTTCTGGGGGTTTTCTGTTTGGGTTTGGTTTGGTTTTTATTTCCCCTTTTGTGTTCCAAACATGAGGTTCTCTCTACTGGCCCTCTTAACTGTGGTGTTGAGGCTTATATTTGTGTAATTTTTGGTGGGTGAAAGGAACTTTGCTAAGTAAATCTCTTCTGTGTTTGAACTGAAGTCTGTATTGTAACCACGTTTAAAGTAATTGTTCCAGAGACAAATGCTTCTCGACACCTTTTCTTTACAAACAAAAGAATTCGGAGGGAGGGGATGGTGACCGAGATGAGGGGGGGCTGTCCTATTTCCCCAGGAGGGGAGACCCGAAGAGATGACCCCTGCTCAGATCAGCCAGAAGCCACCCAAAGAAGTGAAGCCTAAGCCAACGGACCGAATAGCTGTCACGTTGCCATTTTCAGTCAGAGCAAAACCAGGTCTCGTTCCGCCCAGTGGATTCTTTTGCCTTTTTCCCCCCCAAGATTATTAGCATCATTATTTTTAAGGACAGAGGAGGTTTACGTTCCTGCGAGGGGAGCCAGGAGGGGTGTGAGCAGGGCCAACCTCACCTGGGTGGGAGGAGGATGGGGCGAGCCTGAACGGCGTGGCTCAGCCAGAGGGCGGGCACCCCCCCCCCGAGACCTCCGCCGTGGCCACAGGTCAGGTGTGTGTTGACAGGGCAGATCGGCCACTCTTCGCCTGACACAGCTTTCTGGACAGGCCAGGCGGTGGGCATTGTTGTCTAGGACCCTCCATCACATCCCGCCCCGTCCCGCAGCACACAGCACTGATGCGACCTCTCAATTCCCACAATCCCAGGCGATGAGATGATGGGGGCGGGGTGCGCTCTCTTGGCTGTCATCCAATTCCCAGCAAAATTTGGACGTGAGAAACCCTCTTCCCTTTCCGTGGCAAGACCAGATCCTTCTCAGAGACGCTGTCACCCCCACCAGACAATTTTGGGTTCATGGGACAGGGACAGATGTGTGCTCCCCGAGCACCCGGCGCCCCTCCTCCGAAAGGTGAGGACAGTGCTGACTCTAGTGACCATTCGCACATAGGGTTTAGGAGCAGGTAGAACCAAGACAGGGTGGCTGCCCCCTCCCGAGTCTCAGCGACACAGGCCAGCCACCCCATGCGGAGGGAAGCCAGGCCGAGGGTGGGAGAAGTAAGCATGGGGCGCGGGGAGCGGCCGGACAGACTTGGCTGGAGATGTCTCGAAAAGCCCTCTATCACATTCACCTTCAGTTTTTGTGTTTTGGGACAATTACTTTAGGAAATAAGTAGGTCGTTTTAAAAACAAAAAATATTGATTGCTTTTTTGTAGTGTTCAAAAAAGGTTCTTTGTGTATAGCCAAATGACTGAAAGCACTGATATATTTAAAAACAAAAGGCAATTTATTAAGGAAATTTGTACCATTTCAGTAAACCTGTCTGAATGTACCTGTATACGTTTCAAAAACACCCCCCACTGAATCCCTGTAACCTATTTATTATATAAAGAGTTTGCCTTATAAATTTACATAAAAATGTCCGTTTGTGTCTTTTGTTGTAAAATCAAGTGATTTTTTCATAAGGTTCTTTTACTATTTGAAAAGATGGGCAGCACGCAGTTTTATTTTATTTTTGTAAGTTTTTTAATACGTGTGAAAGCAAAGACTACTCAGCATGCCTTTCTAAGTGACGCGTTTGCACCTTTTGTTGGGAAGTACTGTATCCTGTGCTGTTAGCATTCTCGATAAATCTCTCTGTGAAAGTGACTCAAGGTCTGGGCTTTCATTATCAGACAGCTCACAGGACAGCATGGTGGTGTGGTTTCTGATTTGGTCTGGCTGTCCCTGAACACAGAGAGCCAGCCGCTTTTCAGGACGGCCGTGGGAGGAAAGGGCAGCCCGCTCCACGCACCGCACCCCCTTGGCGCTGCTCCTGCGTGTGTGGGGAAGCTCTGGGCGGCAGGCTGGGAAGGACCTGGCGCAAACCTACCCGCTGTGCCCTAGGTCAAGAGGCCTTCTGCACGGTGGCATAACTTCCATGTTCCCGAGGGCCATGGTTGGGGCACCTCTTTGGTCTGGACGTGCCGAGGTGCTTTTGGAAATACACCCGCCACCCCCAGCTCCTCCTGCGCCTACCACCTGAGACCCTCCCCTATAGCCTCTGCTGAACTGGCTCCCTGCCCAACGGGGGCGCTGCCGTCACTGGGGTTTGCAGGTGTCACGCCCTGTCTATGCTCCTTGGCTTCCCCGTAAGGCCGTGAGCTCTCGGGAGCTGCCTCCCCGCCGCCGTCATCCCCACCAGGCTGTTGCCGGGCTGGAGGGGACAACAGCTGCTCAGTGTCCAGCTTCACACGCAAATGTGGACACACCTGTTAGAAGGTGCACTCGAAAGTCCTGGCCTTGACCGTTAAAACAAAGGGTTGAAATTCGACCTACGTGTACCGAGCATCTCTCGTGTGCCGGGCCCGTCTGCGGGGCTGCAGTCGAGCAGTGAGCAAGGAGGACCAAGTGCTCGTTCCCTTGGAGCGTAGTGTGTGTGTGCGTGGTGATTTCCCACCCTCTCGGGGAGTGGCTGCTGCTTCTGGGAGGAAGTTCCAATAGAGGTCCATATTGGAGAGACCCATTTCTGGAAACTGCCCTAAGTCCCTAGGAGGACAGCCCGGGGAGAGCCCTTGGGAGTCAGGATGGAGAGGACAAGGGAGACGGTCAGGGAAGGAGAACTGCCGCCCTGCGGACATGCATCGAGCCGGAAGCAGAAGAAGAAGGTATCTGGTGCTGCCTGCTGGGTCTTCCCCGGTCTAGTGGGGGAGGCTTAAGAACGATGCACCAGAGATGCCGGGTACGCAGGGGCTGCAGGCAGCTCTGCCAGGGGAGCCTAGAAAGCTTCCACCCCTAGCTTCCACCTAGGGAGCCGTTTGAGCTCAACCCGGTGGCACGAGGGCCAGGAAACTGCACGTGCAAACTCATGGCCGCAGAAGGCCTGGCGCATCTCGGGACCCTGAGGAGTTCCGGTTGGCTTAAGGCTGCCGACGTGTGCAGAGAGCTGGACACGGCGTCGGAGGACAGGAGCCACATCGTGACAGCCGTGAGGGCCTAAGTGAAGAGCCGGGGCCCATCACAGGGCTTCGGGAAGCACAGGAAGGCCTTAAGCAGGAAAGCTATGTGGCTTGACTTGTGCCTGAGGAAGAGCATGGGGCAGAGATGAGGCGGGGCAGCCGGCAGGCAGCCAGCGCGTTCATCCAGGTAAGAGGCAGTAGTGAGGGCAGTGGGCCTGTAGTGGGGGTGATGGACTCCAGAGATGTTCAGGGAGTCGACAGAGAAATCGTGACTGCCGATGCAGGTGGAGGAATGGAGGCTGCAGAGCATTGTGGGAACGGGCGAGACAGACAGATGTGGCCAAGACGTCAGACAGGCTGGGAACTGAGCGAGGTGCCTGGTCACTGCTTCGGAAAAGAGGGCGGGAGAGGCAGTGCAAACGGCCAGAAACGTGACAATGCGAGGGAGAAGGGACAGCGGGGGCCGAAACCCTGTTTCTCGAGACATAAACACAGCGCACGTGCTACAGAGCCAGCAAAGAAGGAAAAGCGGCAGATAGCGCTGAGAAGTCATTGCCGGTGCAGGTTCCTGAAGGAGCGTAAAAGATACGATCCAGGACACAGGAGATGGGCAGAAACGCTCCGAGCCCGCGCGGCGTGCTGCTTCCAAACCGTCCTCCCCGCACCCAGCCTCACGGCCAGCTGACGAGTCCCCCGGGGGACCTTTGTGTGACCTACATCTGACCCTGTCCTGCCGGGATCTCTGACGACTCTCCGCTGCCTCCCAAATAAAGCCAAAACATCTTAAGGGGACCTCCCAGTGACTGTCACAAGGCCCGGCTCCGGCCCTTTCTGGAACGGCCCATGCCTTCGCCATAGCCTCCGTCCTCGATGCTGGGAACCGCTGTCTTCCATGTCCCTCAAAGCCCCAGGCGGGCCGCTCCACCTCC